TACACATTATTTTTATTTATTTAAATGTATATTAAAATATAAATTAATATTATTTAATCACTTATATGTTTAAAATATATAATAGGTACAATATAATTAAAATATCAAATCATAATAAAATTAAAATTTTTAATTAAAAAATTGATAAAATTTAAAACATACTATAAACAATAATCATAATAAAATTAAATATCCGAACAATTTTTGAATGCATGGATAATGATTTTATTCTTATATCATTAATATATCTAATATAAATACATGAATTTTAATTATTATCATTTAATAATCAATTTATCATAATAATTTGAAATAAAAACATTAAATTCAATTAATGCGTTCAATTAAAGTCGATATTTTTATATTAAAGTGTATGTTTTTCCTATAATTAAAAATGATAACAGACTACAAATACATTGTAAAAAAAATGACTCCTAACTTGTGAAATTGATAAAGAAAATATTATTAAATACTTACAAAGAAAAAATAGATCAAATTAAAAATATGTAAAGAGGGAAAATAGGAAACAAATGCATCATTTCTTGTTAAGATTTAATAGTTATTTTTTTTAAATCAATGATTTATTACATATTAAATGATAGTTTGAATAGTTTTGAATTCAAATAGGTGAGGAGAATAACTCATCAAAATTTTTTATTTTTATTATGAAATAACACAACTCAAAACTCATTTCCCATAAAAATTTCATGTCAAAATTTTGAATCTAGGAGACTTAAATTTAAAAAATGTTGTGTTTACATTTTTAGGAGTTAAAAAAAAGGAGGTTTTACTTAATTCTCTTGTTACAATAATTTGATCTATATTAATTAGTTATCATACTTGCATATTTACATGGAAATATGTATTAAGCAACATAATTAGTATACATTTTTTTATCCAATAATTATTATAAAGTTTGTAAAGTATAATATAAAGTTGTCTTGATTTCAACTTAAATTATTTTTTATTGTCTTTTTTTATGTGTGTGTATATATATATATATATATATATATATATATATATTACCTCCTATATATAAAGAGTATGCAATATGACATAGTTTTAATTATTTTAAATTTAAGAAAAAACTCTCAATAGTTATAAAATCCTTAACTTGTACTCGAAAAGTTTTATGCTAATAGTTTAAAATAGCTTAATAATAGGCAATTAAGCAATAGATTAAGATATTTTTCATAAAAAAATATAAAGATTTAGACAATGCCAAATAAAAACCATTAAAGTAATAATATAATGTAGTTAAAAGTTATTAATTAAACCAAGAAAGAAAGAGGAACCAACCTAGAAAACAAAATATGATGTATTTTAAAATATAAGAACATGAAATGGCACAAATAAAAAATTTTAAATTTAAAAAATAAATTTATATATCTAAATTAAAAAATAAATTTAAATTTATATTAATATTTGTTGTAGACTACACCTGAAGAACAAATATAACTATGGAAAAATAAGGAAAGAAAAGGAAACAAATGGGTTTCACTTTACTTAAAATTTCAATCTTATATGAATATCGGATTATACATGTATTTTTGTGCCAATAAGTAAATAATAAGACAAAGTATGATAAGAATGAAAAAAAAAATAAGAAAAGAAAGGATTGGATTATATATGTATTTTATGCCAACAAGTAGATAATAGGATAAAGTATGATAGGTATGAAAAAATAAGAAAAGAAATGGAAAAAGTGGATTTTAAAATTAAGTAAAATTTTAACCTTATATGACTATCGGATTATATAGAAAGTTTATTACTGTGCCAACGTTTTTTCTTCAAAGAAATTGAATTTAATTTTTATTAAATCATAAAAAATTCGACATACCTTTACTATTATAATTATGATCTAAATATTAAAAACAATGAGAATATAAAAATATTATTATTTTTTAAAAGAAAAATTATACATAATTGAATAATAAATTAGCTCATAGTATTTATGTGACTTCATTTATATGATTTTTAAAAAAACTTTTGAAAAATTGAAAATAAAAAGTAGTAAATGTGTGTCAAAAGAAAAATAATTGAAAATAAATATTATTTTTTATAAAAATAAAATCATTAAAATAATAATACCTTTCAAAAAAAATTACAAATTGAATAAAAAAAAACTTTGCAGCTCATATTATTTATAGACATTGGATGATAATTAGGATGTTTAAACTTTAAATTGATGATAAATATCTTTTCATTTTAAATAAATATATATAATAAGTGATATTTTTATTTTTAAATTTTAAAAAATTAAAAACTAAAAGATTATAAAGAAAGTTACTAATATAAAAATATCCATTTGAAAATTTTAAATTTACAAAAGAATATATCTCTAGGTGAAATCTTAATCAAATAAGATTAACTTTTTTAAAATTTTATATTTTTATTACGACTTATTGAGTTTTTTATTTTGAAGAAAAAATCATAAATAATTTGGGTAAGATTTTATTTTTGAAAATTTTGATATTTGAATTTGAGTAATGTATAATAGGTATTATCCATGTGTCAAAAAAAAATATCTATCTAAGCATCCATATGCAAACTTTATCTATTTTTGTTTGTTGTAATATAATAAATATATATATGATTAGATTTTTAACAATAAATATATTTATTAATAATGTATTAAATATCAATATTTTAATTAATTAATTATTTTATTATATATATATATTAAAAAAGTATTATTCGTTATTAAATGTTTTATGTTTTAACAAATTATTTTAAATAAAAATCCAAAATATCAAAAGTTGTCATATTAATTTTAATATTTTGTTAGTGGTAATTTATTGCTCATTTATAGTATTACATGTTTTTATCATTTTTCAATAAATTAGTTTAAATAAAAAGCAAAATATTAAAAATTTGCGTTTATGTGTAGGTAGAGTTAAACTTGTACTTAATGCACGATAAAATGTTTTTAATTTTTTTATAAAAATTTCTTAAATAAAAAAACGTAATATATAAAGATATAATATTAATTACAATATTTGCAAGTATTAATTTTTTTTAATAAACTAGTATTATTAAAAAATAAAATATGAAAAATTAGCATATTAATTATAATGTTTGTATATTCTATTAATCCATGATTTGAACATAAACATTTAAATATATAAATCAAAATTTCAAATTCCATGCTTTTTATCATAAAATTTAATTAAAATGGTAGGAAAATAACAATCAATATATATATATATATATATATATTCATTTCAATCTTTTCATAGTCAATTTACTTAGAAATTTTTTTCTTATTACAACAAACGAATTTAAGTAAAATGAGAGGAATAGGAAAAGTAAAAAATGTTATTGTCTTAAATTTAATTTTTGTATTTTTATTAATTAATGATTACATTTTTGGAAAATAATATAAAATAAATTTTATTTGAAAGACTTTTCATATTTTATTAACATCTAAATTTAATTAAAACAGTAAGAAGAAAAAAGTCATAAAATTTATGTTATTATATTAATATCAATATTTTCATATGTCATGAATTAATTAATTACAAATAAATCGTTTATGATTATTTCTTGATTTATCTATTACTTTATATATATCATTTAAATATTTTTAAAAAAATTAACTTAGCAAAAATACCTAATTATAGACAGTAGTTTAGTAAGATCATTAAATTATTGGGGGAACCACATGATTACCCTCAATGAAAAGAGTTTCAAGAGTGAGATCATGAAGATGGATTTGTAGGGTCATTCACTCATACTAATTCAACCAAATTTTATGCTTTCTAATTGTGGGCCTTCTCTCCAATCAATTTCAACTATTTAACTTTGACTATCAAAGCTTTTTCTGAATTTTCCTAGGACAACAAAGAGATTAATAATAATAATAATATTATTATTAATTAATATTATTATTATTATTATTATATCATATATGAAAGACTCCGAAAATTAGTGTTTTCATGATCAAACTGTCCATTAGATCTAGCAATTTATAATCCATTTACATAGAGAATGACATTGGTTTTGATAGATTAAAAATAATAGTAAAATTGAGATTAATTATTATAATGATGAGATTGAAATCAATAATAAGATATATATTTAGATATAAAAATAACAGTGAAGATAAAATAAATTATAGTGAGAATAAAAAATAATTATTAAAGATATTAAATTAAAATTTGTATATAATAAAAATTTGTATGCTATTTTCTTTATTATTTATGTAAATATTTATTTTTAATTAATATTTAATTATGAAGATGTTTATTTATTTATTAGTTTATTATAATCAAATTTATTTATTATATTAAATTAATAAAATTATTTAATATTTTTGAAAAAAAAAAGTAAAATAAAAAAAAGGAAGGTTAACTAATAGAGGATAAAAATTTTAAAAAATAATAAGATTGAAAACTTTTATTGCAATGGGAAATTAAATTTCAGTGGGACCTAAAAGGTCTGGTAAAAAGATAAAGGCGTGGCGCTGTTACTTAATCCAATTGTACGCACTATTGGACCCATTTGGATAACAAAAACATAGTTTTGGATGCTAACCGCACCTCATAGGCTGCAATTGTATCAAATGCAATCTTAGTCTCTTAATTAAGTTTTGAATATGATTTTTTATACTTGATTTTATTTAGAATATTGTAAAAAATTATTTATTTTTAATTTAAAAATATATAAAAATATAAAAACCAAGTTTAATGATAGATCTTACTCATAAATATATCTATTCAAAATATAATTATTTAAATAATAATCCAAATAAAACATATAAAATTTATCTTATTTATACATTTTTTTTCCTAATTTCAAACTATTTAACACAACTGAAATTATATTAGCCTTAAATTGGAAGCCTTTCTAAAAAATTCATGAAAATGGACTCCTTGCTTGACTCATGGATGGTGGATCATGTTCACATCCCACGCCCAACTTCATCTTCTTTTGAATTTGAAGTTTGGTAGAATTCATTTACCCATTAAACCAAATAAAATCCATTTCTTTCTGTTTCCTTGTCAATGTTACTACCCTTGCGGGAAAGCCAAGACAAGCCAAACCATTTGTTTGACATTTTCCCCCGTCTGCACACTTGACACAATTATCATTTCATCAATTTCCATTTTTCCAAATAAAAGACTACCAACTAGCCAGCCATACAAGGCAACAACTCAATTTTGCTGCAACTCTCTTACAAAATCCTTCATCTGCTTGTCTCACTGTTTCCTCCAATCTATTTTCCATGTCAGAAAGCTGCAATTCTCGCCATTTCTCATGGCTAATGAAATCCTGTTTCCCTAACCCCAATCACAAATCTTTGATAATAACACCCCAACACCTTCACCCCACTGTTTCTCTCACCCTCTCTTCTCTCCCTGATGACCTTCTCTTGGAATGCCTTTCCAGGGTTCCTTCCTCTTCCCTCCCTTCCCTTTCCCTCGTCTGCCGCCGTTGGTTCTACCTTCTCCACTCCCCATCCTTCCTTCTCCTCCGCCGTCAACTCCACCTCCTCCACCCTTCTGTCTTCGCCTTCTCCGCCTCCGACGCCGGTGTCTTTGCTGCCACCCTCTCTCTTTCTTCGCTGAGCCATAGCGCTACTTGGGACCTCTCTTTATGTCTTCCAATGAACAATCCTTCACTTCACAGCATCCCAAGGCTCGTTTCTATAGGACCAAGAATTTACATCATTGGTAGAAATTCAATGCTTAGATACAACGCTTGGACCCAGCACGTTATTCCTAAATCCCCCATGCTTTTACCTCGCAAAAAGTTCGCCGCCGCCGCCGTTTTCAATAAAATTTACGTTGCTGGCGGTGGTGGCTCAAAAGCTGCCTCTGCCGTGGAGGAATACGACCCAGAAAGTGATACATGGCGCGTGGTGGCTCACTCACAAAGGAGGCGTTATGGGTGCATAGGGGCAGCGGTGGATGGAATCTTTTACGTGATTGGTGGATTGAAGATCGATGGCGCGTGTGGAAATGGAGGTGGTGGGGCAGATGCTCACGTTTATGCAAGTTCAATGGATTTGTATGATGCGGAGGCGCGTGTCTGGTTGCGGAGCAGGGCGGTACCAGGAGGCGGCTGTGTTGTGGCAGCGTGTGCGGTAGCCGGATACATATATGTTCTAGCAAGCCACGCGGTGGAACTCTCTTTTTGGCGGTTCGATGCGCGGAGGAAATGTGGTGGGGATGGGGGCGGTGAAGGGTTTGGAGAGTGGTGTAGAATGAAAAGTCCACCAATGCCGACTCAAATAAGACTAGACGGAACAGTGAGGTTCTGTTGTGTTGGGGTTGGGGATAAAGTAATTTTGGTACAAGTTGTTGGGTGCATAGATGACTTGTTAAGAAGAAGTGGAAGGAGCCAAAGGGGTCTTAAGGAAGGGCTTGTTTTGGTATATGATACTGTCGGTGGTGAGTGGGGTCGTGCGGCGGATCTGCCGGAGGTTATACGACGCGCCGCCTGTGTGAGTGTTGAGTGTTAATTGGCACAATTGCTGCTAACTTGTGCCTTTCAAAAGCTTTGGTTATTTGTGTAGTCTAAGAAGCAGACAAAATGATTGTTTGTAACATGGCAGAAGAAAAAAAAGGCAACAAAATTTGGCACATAAAATATTGATTATTTATATTCTTGGATTCTTGGTTCGATTGAAAATTTTGAAGTAAATGCAAATAATTTTGTTGGATGGACTTTGGGTTTGTCATTGGCGCCAGATTCAGGTGCCTTTATTTATTTGTTCATGCAATTTGATAATCGTTTATTTTAAAATTATCTATATTCTTGTTAGCTGCATGTATTTAACATTGACCAAAAATAGACTAATTTTGTAAATGTCAAGGATAATGTAGGAGTAATTATATTCATTTACACTTTTTTAGAGAAAAAAATTTTAAGTTTCCATTATAATTAATACTAGAATTAAAAAGTGAAACAATATATGTTAATAAAGTATTACATTTTTAATTTCACTTATCAGAAATTAAATATTGACAATATCAAATATAAAAAAAATAAAACATTAGATTATACAAATATAAATAAATTCAATTTTAGCACTTCTACATGAATTTGTGCTTTTATTTCAATTATGAGCTAAAAATACACAATTAGAATAAGTTAAAAATTATATACACATAATAAATTAATAACTACATAAATTTCATAGTTTATACATATATGACAACATAAAAACTAAATTGAAGAAAAATAAAGCTTGAAAAAGAGGTAATACTTCAATTTTATGTATGTAATAGTCTCCTTAAAAAAATGTACATGGGCCATCCTGACCCTTACTTTAATACCTTAAGTTTTTTAAAAAATTGTTCATGCATGGTGGGCTTAATTGAACTTTGACCTTTTTTATTAAGTGAGTTTATGTCATGTTTAGGGTATAAAATTATAAATAGGATATAATAAAAAGAAGATATTATGAATATAATTATATTAAATAATGTTATCTTATTTTAAGTTCAATGTGAGTAATGATTAGGATAAGATAATTTATTTATTAAATAAAATTATCTTTTTTTAAAATTTATACGATTTAAATTATCAATATAATTTTAAATAATATAATAGAACATGTAAGTTCAATCTTATGTCAAGAAGATGATTAATCTTCCTTACAATCTTATCTTTCTCTTTAGATATAAATCTAGTATAACATAACTATTATCCTATTATATTTATGTAGACACCTAATTTTATTTGAGATATTTTATTTTTTAAAAATCAAAATTGTTTTTGTAATTGGGCTTCGATCCTCAATTTTTTGGATTCATTAACGATTCATTTTTATATGCTCGAGAATGAAACCTAATATGAGCCCCATAGTGAGGTCTATTGCAATGGTCTTATATAGCTTGATTGGGCCTGATAAAAAGCCCATCAATGGCCCATTATTAGCTATTAAACGATAAAATAATAATAATAATAATAATAATAGAGCTTGATTAAAAAACAAGTGTTTTTTGAAATCCCAAAACCAAAAGGAAAAAAAAAGAAAAGAAAGGGAGAATAAAATGAAGGCCTTAAAACATTGGGCCTTTGTTGGCCATAAATAGGGACCATTTTTATGTAAAAAAAAGGGCCAAACCATGCATAGGTTGGCATGAAGTTTAAGACCACCTTATGTTTGCTACATACATGAAAAAGGAAATGGTTTAAAAACACACAAAAAAAGAAGAAAAAACCATGAAGAAAATGGCATGAAATGTGAAAAACTGTTGCCTTAAAAAATGAAAATTGATAGGTTTCTGGCTTGGGCATGAACTTGGCAACGTAGAAAACAGAAAAAAAAAAAAGCATGACAGTAAAACAAAAATGGGGAACAAATGAAAAAGAAAAGAGGGTAGCAACGCAAATAAGAGAGATAATAGAAAAGTAAAAAAAAAAAATGAAAAGCAGAAGAGTAGTAAAAAAGAAAAAAAAAGATGTTTTCATGCATTGAAAGCGTAAGAAGAAGGGGCAAAAATTGGGAGAAAGGGTTAAGCTGGACAACATGGAAGGCATTTTTCAAACAGGTTACTAGAGAAGCCAAAGAAAAAGAAGAAGCAAATTGAGTAAGAGACGAACCAAAAAAAATGGAAGAAAGCCAATGGCAGTAATAGGGGACAAGAAAAAAAACTAACCAGTAGAGGAAGTGGATGTAACCAAGAGAGGAAGACGAACATGAGAAAAACTGGACACAAAAAGGATGGGAAGTAGTGAACTGGAAAAGAAAAAAGTAAAAAAAAACTTTATAGTGAAGAAGAGAAAAAACTACAAAAAGACATATAGGTAGTAGAAAAAAAAAAGAAAATCATAAAAAAAAGAAGATAAAAGAGAGGAAAAAGTACTAAGAGAAAAAGTCAAAACCAGATAAGAGAATGAAGACACGAAAATAAAAAAAAAGAGCAGTTCGGTAAGGTGGTCCTTTTGTTGAAAAAGGTGTCGGCTTTTTTCTAGTTATGATAGAAACTTCAAGGCTCCATTCTTGACCTGTGTTCACTGGTATGATGATAAGCATTTATATTTTCACATTAAAAATATTTTTTTCAAAAAAATAACTTTAAAAAACAAAAGAAAAGAGTGGGCTGTGAATAGAGGCTTAAAGTTTTTTTTTTTATTATTTTCATGTTTGAAAGCTTGAAGTTCTTTTGATCATATATGTTATTTCGATTTAAAGCTTGTGCTTTATTTTTTGTCCAAATGGAATAAGTCGAGAAAGTTTAAAGCTATATATGTTTATGAAAAAGCCGTTTATCTGTATATAAGTTTATCTGTATTTAAGATTAAAGTTTATGGCCTTTTATTTGTATTTTTTTTTGTAAGATAAATCTAAGGTAGATAGGTTGCTCAATCTTTCAGGTCAGGATAAAATGTGTCGTATTTGATAGCTTAAGATAGGTGGCTGTAGGTCGTGTATTCAATATGACCCTAATAAGCAGTCACTGGCAAGACTCAAACCTGAAACCTCTTTATTGAGGAGGACAAGCCTTAATTAATCGAGCCAGCCACTTGTTGGTTTTTATCTGCATATTGGTCATTTATAAGGTGGAAAGAAAAACTTAGCTAGCATTTGGTTCGAGAGAATTCACAAATTTTTTTTCAGAATCTTGATGGTTGATGTTTGATTCACACGTTTGATTTAGGATAAGCTAATTATGAGAGAAAGTGACAAATTTCCAATAGTACCCAAAATCTTGGAATAAAAAATTCACATCTCTTTATGATATTCTAGGATTCCAAAGGGAAAATTGCCTTATTTTTAAATTTGACCTAAATAAAAAATTATAAAATAGACGTTAACTTTTTTAAAAGTATGTCTGGATGTAACTAAAATTCAGTTGTAGGTTTTTATACAGAAAATTTTTTTTATATTACAATTAAGGCATTTGGTATAAAGAAATATCTTAAATAATCTTTTTTTTTATTTTAATAAATAGATTATTTATTACCTTATTTTCAAATTTGACCTGAATAAAAAATTAAAAAATAGACTTTACCTTTTTTAAAAGTATGTTTGGATGTAACTGAAATTCAGTTGTAGGTTTTTGTATAGAAAAAAAAATTATATTACAATTAAGGCATTTAGTATAGAGAAATGTCTTAAATAATCTTTTTTTTTATTTTAATAAATAGATTATTTAAGGTATTTCTATACAGAAAATCCTTAAATAATCCTTTTATATTTTAAGATTTAGGGTTAATATTTTTGTGAAAGGATTATTTAAGGTATTTTTGTACATAAAACACATTAAATAATCATTTTATATTTTATAAATGGATTATTTAATGCTTTTCTGTACAAAAAAATGTTTTAAATAATTCTTTTATATAGAATTGGCTTAAATAATATCTTTTAAAAAATGAAGTAGATTATTTAAGGCGTTTTTGGTTCAAAAATGCTTTCAATAATCTTTTTCTTTTTTAAAAAAATACTAAAAATTATTTATGGTATTTCTCAACTAGAAACGCCTTAAATAATCTTAATATTTTTTTATTGATGATATTTTATAAATAAAAATAGTAATCATAAAAATATTTGCTTTCTTTTATTGCTAAATGCATCATTTTGTCGTTTGGGTATTTATTATTAATAAAAACTAATGAAAAGTTACCATCATATATGTTAAGGAGATTATGATAATTATTCAAGAATTAATATACATGGATTCTCCTAACCAAACGAATGAATCTAAACATTAGATGCCCTAAAAATTAAAAAAAATATAAGGTATCGCACTTTTTTAAAAATCACACTTTCTTTCAAAATTTACGATTCTACGAATCAAACGCCACTTTAAAATTTTACCTTTTGCTTACGTTTGTCAGTTTGGTGCCTGTCTCCTTTTGTTGTCTATAAGAGTTGGCATTTCAAGATTTATGACATATTCTTGTTCCTACATGATTCCTAATTTTCGATAAACAAAAGTGGTAGCAAATATAAAGAAGTAAAAAAAGTGTTGGTGTAGATGATTTATCTAGTATGCCATGAGGTTTGTCTTGGTTTCTCTTTTTTTTTTTTTTTTGGCATTTAGTTATTGCATGGGCTTGATTAATAATAATAATAATATTGTAAAAAAGACATTAATTAATTAATTAAAGATTTTGAATTTTCTACCTAGATGTTGGAGGTAGTCCAAAATTGCATTTTAAAAATAATGATAATGTATAAAAAATAATAATATAATAATTTCACCTATATGTTAGAGAATTATTAAATATTAAAATAAAATAATAAAAGATTAATAAATAATAATAATAAAATTTTTAATGAAAAATAAATAAATAAAATATAAAAATTCCATTTGTTTAGAGCAATAGATAAGGGTAAATAAGAATAATAATAATTTTAAAGAAAAAAATATATGAAAATATAAAAGATTTGATTTTTTAAGAAAATTACAAAATACGAGCTTGCTCTAAAAGTGTACCTAGATGTTAAAAATTTTTAGAGAGATTCATAAATTTTTGAAACCCTAAATGAAACCCCAAAATGGAACCTTAAAATTGAAACCTTAAATGAAAACCTAAACTTTAGGTAAAACCCGAGTCCAAAAATACAACCTTAAAACCTTAAACCATAGTTAAGGACTTAAATGAAATCTTGAAACCCCAAAATTATCCTAAGGTCTAAAGATTTATATGAAATTCTTTTATGAAATAATCTATACCCGAATGTTGCCTAGAAGATGAGGTATTTAGAAAATTTTATCTCATTAAGATTGTTCATATAATTTCTTAATTAAAATAATAAAATTAAATAAAGAATAAAAAGATAAAAAATGGGATTTTAAAAATAAAAAGTTGTATCCAAACTCTGCCTAAAGATTGAAAAGTCCATGTGGCCTTTTTATACT